TTCTGTGCCCAATCTCCTGGGCAGTCGGCAAGCTTCGCCTCTCCACAGGAACTCATGGGAGTCCACTGCTGGCTTCTCCTCAGCATCACAGTGGCACTATATTTACTGTTCCCATCACAGAAACAAAACATCCGCACCTCCACTCAGTCTCCCCGACAAACTCTGCTTCCAGTAAACAGAGAAAGAACCAACAGTATCGACTCCCAAGCAGCACACAGATTCCAGATTTCACCAAGCAGCGCCAGCTGTGGCATCAGAGAGTACCTCTTCACTGCTGACACAGCCACTAAAGCACCTGCTTCAGAGACAGGAATAGCCCAGTGCCCCCCAGAAATGGCAGCTCTGCATACATCCCCAGAAGAGCCCTCTAAGGAACTACAACAACTATTCAACGTGTTTGTAAAGCCCATTACCTCCCCACCCTCTTTCAAAGCCATGTTGAGCATCAGCAAGGGGCACTAGGAACAGCCTTCAGGGGTCAGAAGAGCTCATGTCACTTAACCATCCCCTCACCCTGCACCCCATCACCCCTACACCCAGGAGAAAGACAGTAGACTAAACCCAAAGAGCTCAGAAATTACACGATTGCAGGATACCCAAAGGTTTCTGCCAGGTTCCAAGACATGCCCGATAGAGAGTGGGATACAGTGCTCACTTCAGGACACGCTGAAATCTACCTGTGCCTTGTCTCCACTAGGATTTTACAGCAAGATAGCTATCACAAGTTAGATGGCTTTTTTTTTTTTTTAAATAAAAAACAGGGAGATCACTTGTTTTGGCGGCGAAGATATAGTGTAAATTGGAAGAGTTAAAGCCTAGCGCAGCCCAGGCTACAATACAACCAGCTAAAGCACCTTCAAATGTCACTTACTGGCATGATTTTTTTTAATGACATTTATGTACCTGCACAATCATTCCAGACACAGTTATACTACCAACATATGATTCTACTGGTAGCTTATTTTGTTTGGGGAACCAGTAGACGCTATACCGGCAAAAGCGCTCTTGTGCGGGTATAAACTGCATTTTATTAAGCGCATCTGTGCTCTGCTACAAAAATGAACTATCATCAAACGCTGGACTTTAGAACGTGCCTACACTTGAAAGTTCATTCAGATCAAGGTAGGGTGTGAGTTTAAAGTGCAACAGCTATTCCTGAATTCCAGAAGTGTCCACATATGGAGTTGAGTGTGCTTTATTCCGGTTTAACTTAATCCTGTGGATTAAGCTGATCTATCAGACAATGGCAGAAAAAGATCCAATGATGGGAAGAAGAAGTTAAACAAAAATCAGAACAGAAATAAAATGTACATTTTTCACATAGAGGAAAACTAACTATTGGATCAATTTACCTTGGGACAGGGTGTATTCTCCATCAGTAGAAGTTTTTAATCAAACCTGGACGTCTTTCTAAAAGATAAGGCCCAACTCAACCAGCAGATGTGGGTTTGATGCAGAAACCATTGGGTGAAATGTTATGGCCTGTGTTACCCAGAAATCAGACTAGACCATCACCAGGGCCCGTAAACCCCACACATCTGTGCTGGCCAGTCAGTGTCCAGAAGGGATGCTTGGGGGACATCCCGCCCAGCAGGCAAAGGGCTGCTAGCGACTGTCAGTTCACTGGCAATCAGCTCATTCCTACAGCCACAGCCCAACCGTGCCAGGCCGGCTGGGCAGGTGTGGGGACAAGAGAGCCCAGCCCGTGGCGGGAGAGGGCGGCTACAGGTCAGGCAGGTGGGCTCTGAGGCGCAGCCCCCTGGAATGGGCGGGGGGGGGGG